TCTCTCTCTCTCTCTCTCTCTCTCTCTCTCTCTCTCTCTCTCTCTCTCTCTCTCTCTCTCTCTCTCTCTCTCTGACACACACACACACACAGTCAGTATCCTCCAGTGTTGTGGTCTCATGGCTAGGGCTTATTTTTAATTATTCACATTTAAATGTCGGGTATAAAGACATACCTATAACGCGTGCTCCATTCCCATTTAAAAAAGTAAGTCCTTCAAATGTAACGTTTTAGATACAGCCAACACCCTGTGTTGCTTCAACGCGACCATGCCGCAGTAATGCAATTCAGTGTGCTGTGTCTAGCCACGTACGACAATATACCAAGGAGAGTAAAATGACCATGGGCATGCACGTAAGTGATAGAAAAGCTACCGGAAGTACATCTGTTGTCCTGTCTAGAAAATATTGTGGAATTCAATATGACATGATAAATTATACACGTCACACGCGGCAGGCAGGCGTTCCTTTTGGAGACCCAAATGAAAATGCGTTCTATACTCTACAGCAAAGCACGATGAGGTCATTTGTTCTGTTCGTTATTTCTACTTTCGTCTCATTCTCTGCTTTTGCTTCGGACTAGGATTATCGCTGGTGCGCATAATGATGAACGAAACGCAATCAATTACTGCCGAACCCGTTGAGACTGTTACCGACAGGTGGCGTTTTAAATGCTTTTTATTGCGACAGCAATATTGCAGTAGGTGCGACTCGACTGTATGGCGAAATGGCTCTGTTTGAAGACAGGTGGAACTGTATTAGCTGTCCAGATAAACTGGGTTCTTACGGAATCAATTGTAGTCAAATGTCTCATTCGTAGCATTTAATATATTAAAGATAAGGCAAAAAGTCGGTCCTCTTCAAGTGGCCATTACAGGTACCGTACCCAAACGTATATCAATCACTTACATCTTAAAGGGATAACAACTGTTCATTTTGGCCAAAAATGGATTTCCTGGGATCAACGACAATTTTCCCATACTTAAGTTAGTCCTTGTTTTTTTCCAAAATGTGTTTTTAAAAAATAATCTCTTAAGATATTATTACTGAAGGTAGCCATCAATGGGCGTCACGTGGTCCGATGACAAGCACAGTCTGTGTCAGATTCTAGAATAATTTTTTTTATATCTCTGTGAGTTGTTTACAAAGTATTTCTTGTGCAATATGGATCTCATACGCAAAGTTGTTGTTATCCCTTTAATTTTCCTTTAGCTTTGAGTCACTTGGTTTATCTTTCATTCAATTAAGTAAATAAATAAATATCAAACTGGGGCGATAACCTTTAAATCCAACTTTTAAAAGCTTACTGAACATGTGCCACTTTTTAATTTATTAGGGTATCATTAGCAACTCAACATAGCCTACGTTAAAGGTACTATTTACTGTGTAATGTGACAGAGAGTCCCCCCATGATAGAGAGTCCGCTTCCCATTCATTTATACAGGCAAGCTTCGCCCAAGATTTTGACCCACATAGGCCAGGCTAACCCTAACCATTGTAACTAAATGGGGGGCGGACTTTCTGTTACACGGACCCTCAGTTTCGTTACAACGGTATTTACTCGCCATAATATGGAAACTCCCTAACGCACGGATCATTGCCCGACCTGTCTCTGCATTTGGATTCCATTTTTTTTTTTATGAATTTTTGAATTATTAAAACAATTTAATTACAAATGACTGGCCAGGCGTTTTGGAACGACATATGCATTCATGGCCTTCACTGATCATGGCCTAGATTTCATTTTATAACACAAGGAAATGGCGCGGTGTTTTGTATCGTGGCCCTGTGTCGTGTATACATTACAACACAAACGTTGCGAGCTGACATTGCTACCAGAGAAGGCTAAAATATTATAAAGACATTAGTGTATTGTATGACTAGATGAAGAATCGTTAAATAAACTATATGCTTTGCCACCCTCAACCCCCCTCCCCCCCCCCAAAAAAAAAAAAAAAAATAATAATAATAATAAATAAATAGGCTTGTAAACCAACGAAAATTTGGGGACAATGGGAATAGTTATCAAAACTTTTCATATCGCTTCTTGGCGTCCTTTTTTTTTTTACAGGCTGCTTTTGGCGAATTTGATTGGCTTTTTGAAACATTTTCTTGATATCATATTGATTTCACCTTTATTGATCAGCTAAGAGATGAAATAATATATACAGAAGAGAGCCCTTAAGTATTTTGAAAGCACTTGGCAATTCTGCAACACGCAAAAGACGCCTTCAAATGAGTGAGTCATGCAATTTTATTGTCACGTTTTTATGGACAGACGTGCTGCCGATTTTAAGGCATCAGCGAATGTGATAATAAGTAATATTAGCAGGCAAATGCTCCTCTTCTCTTTTAGTCGTTCTTAATTGTCTCTTTGAAAGAAAGTAGGTCTTATCCCACTTGGAAGAAAAACCCAACTAATGCTGCTGTTCGCTTCCACACGTGTACTTAAGGCAGGGCATCGCTCTAAACTTTTAGGCCAAAATGGTGTCTGCTTCATTGCATGATAAATTCATAGTAATTCACTTATCTAAAGTAAGTATCGATCTGACGCATAAGTCTGGACCACTTCTGAATTATTTGGGGTCAAAGCAGAATTTTGGATTTTAAGATTAGACCAATGCTTTAAAAATATTTTGTGTTGAAAAGATGGTCTAAGTTTCTCTTCTAAAACCAGCAACGATTTATTGTAAATGTAAACCTCTGTGATGAAACAATTTGAATTGTAAGAATTGAATTGTAAACTATGTAATTCTTGTTTGTTGTACGAGCCAGTAAACCAAAATAAAACGTCCTTTATTGAAAACAGGAAGTCTCATTCGCATTGCTCTTTATATTTGACGTCCTTAGCGCAAGTTATGCAATATACATGTAGTATCTAGTGCTAAGCTGTTTATTCATTTCACATGATAACCGAAACGGCAGAATTTCATGTCTCTGCACGACATTTCGCATGTTCTGGCTGGTGCTTTTGAAAACCCGACCATCCTTCTGCAATGTTTTAGAACGTGATTCTCTTGAACTATTTTTCAGCCATTCTCCCATGTTTTGGAATTTTGGAGTATTTTTTCAGAAGACGTGAAGCAACCTCCGTCAGGGATAATGGCCCTCACTCTGTGCGCCCATCTCCTCGTCCTCCAAGAAGTCTTCCGATGGAAATTCTTCGTCACTTTCTGAACGGTGAAGTCTTGCTAAATAATCAAGGAAAATTGCCATTATTATGGGTGGGACTTTTGCGATATCAAAACAACAAAAGGAAAGTTTAGTTAAATGGAATTTTATGAAATAAATTATAATATAACTGAGGCCTTCGAGAAAGCAAAATGTGATTGTAGTGACTATCATTCATCTAATTATTACCTCCGCCAAGGAGGTTATGTTTTCACCCCTGTTTGTTTGTTTGTTTGTTTGTTTGTCATCAACATAACTCAAAAGGTTATGGACCGATTTTGATGAAATTTTCAGGAACTGTCAGAAGTGGGCCAAGGAACAGATGATTAGTTTTTGGTGGTGATCCGGATCAATAATCAATCAATAATCAATAATCAAAAATCAAAAAGCTAAATCATTATAGAATGAAAATTTAGGGGTGAAACGGCATTGGATGGAGACTTTGCTACCTTGCTACCTGAGTGCTTTTCTAGTTTCTTTTATTTTTGGCCAGTGGTCTTAGACCTATTAGACCAGAATATAGCAAGGTCGCTCTCTTGTAGCCGCGACTAGCCTTAAAGCTATTGAGTGATCTCTCAATACACTGCAGCTGTATGGAACCTTATCTACCAAATACTCTGTCTTTTTGAAATGAAGACGGGTCATTATGGACGTTTCTCCTTTGTGCTATGTGATATACAGTATATGTACCACTTAATTGTATAATCAACTATTTATGTATATTTGGCCCATCTATTCACTCTTCATTAAGCCATTCAGACGAAATTACCTGCAAGGGAGGATTGCCTTGGTTCTAAGACCCATTTATTGAACGAATCACCAATTTCTAAAGGAAATTCTAAAGGCACTGGAACGCCCAATGCTTGTTGGTTCTTTTTGAGTTCTTTTTCACGTAGTAAGATTAGGTCTTGAATCACATTCAGCTGACGTGTCATCCGTCCTCGTCTCCCAACGCGAATGTAGTCATTGTCTTTTGTGTGGGTGTACAGAAACGTCTCAGCGGTCCTTGCGATGAGACCGACCGTGCACGTGATGAGCAGCAGCGTACGGGTTAAGAAGCGGGCACCTGTACAAAAAATGAAAGTGTGAACGTCAGAAATATATCAAGAAAGATTCGATGAAAATCATCGCACTAGAAGAATGGGGTATGATTTATTATGAATCATTTATGATTTAACTAATTAATAAGTCCAAATTTCATAATTAATCCATTATATAATTAAAGGATCACCATCAAAATCGTATTAATTCTAGGGTAGCCCATTTCTGACCTACCCTTATTAAACGTTACTGGTTACCCTCCCGACTGTTTTTTTAAAATTTCACCAAAATTCATCTACAATTTTTTCCGAAATGTTGATTAGACAAACAGACAGACAAACAAAACCTAAAACGAAACTTCCTTGGCGGAGGTCATAATAATCATTGTTTCTTTTAGAATACTACAATCGAAATACATGTATGAATTCTTTATAAATGGTCTAATAACCGCCTTCTTAAAACTCATTTGTGAACAAATTAATTGCAAATGGCATAGGAACTGTTCCAGCTGTAACTGATATCTTCACAAAGATTTATAAATGGTGAAAGTCCAACATTCAACGTTCAGTTTAGAAGAGAAGACCTCAAGCATGGATGACGTTAATTTTGCTGTTTGATATAAACTCCAGTCTCCAACGAAAGAACAGAAAAATAAGTATGATCAGTAATATCTGCACATTCAATTTCAGTAACTTTTTTCTCAACGAAATCATGAAAATACTTAATCCCAGTCACCAATATAGATCACGACATGATGCATGGTACCGGGTAGGTGGACAATTGGTTCTCTCTGAATGAATAGGACCTAATATGTTAAAATAGGCCTACCTTAGCAACTGCAAAGACAATCGCAATTTGCTTAAAGGTTTTCGTTTAAAAAAAAAACTTGAGGTTAGTGGGTCTTTAGATTATTTATGAAACGCAGCTTTTAGTTTCTCTGGCTCTGGGCTAATGTCGTTCAGTTAGTGTTATAATTAGGCCTTAGAATCCAACTTGAAAGGGACAAAAAATAAACAATAGCATAGAAAATAAAGTAAAATTAAGAAAAAGAAAAAGTAATTAGACGTAAAGCATAAGGCTCACCTCATACATCAAGCATATGTAATAAACACATATTGACAGGAGTTTTCTCATTCCTAAAGATATTCATCTTAAACAAATGAACAACTGAAGTGCATGTAAGCTACGGTTGCACGAGGGTCGTGACATACAATTATAAGAAAGCTGCAGGCCTCATATACGATAATCAGGAGTCTCAGATTTATGAGCACGAATGCCCACGTCTCTAAACACGATTTCATTGCACTGGCTTGAATTTAGGAGCCACGAACAGAGCATCATAAAGCAGGACCTATTTGGCCAGCTTTCATCCGGGTCTCTAGCTGAAAGCACATGGTTTTTTAACCTCAACCCCGAACTATTTTCAATGCGGCGTAAGATACGAGAAACTGCACGTTAGAGCTTTTGGAGATTCATAGTCGAAAAGGAGTGATATTTTCAAAGTGGTTATCTAGAGATTTATTGACAGAATTTGAGGAGGAAAGTGATGTTAGTTGTCGGACTAGCTTGGACTAAATGAAATATGTGAGCGGCGAGGAAAGTGCATAGAAGCCCATATAGTTTACTTGCGACGACTACAGTGGAAGTGTAAAAAATAATAAATACTCTTTACACCAACTCACAAATTATATCTGTTTCCATAATACTAAGAAATACTAAGAACAATATTTCATTGAATCAAATTACTATTGATTTTCATAGGCCAAAGAATACTAAAATTTGGATCTAAAAGTAAGACCAATTTATGGTTAAAGTTTTTTGTTAAAGAGGCCTCTTAAAAATACAAGTTTCTATTTTGGTAGAATCTTACACCGGATTTTATCAGCGGTGGGCCATTACTTATTTTACTTTTAAAAGGTCCCACGGTCGATTTCTCAGTGTCAAATAGAGAAATTCTAATGACATTATTTCAAACAAAGTCAAATCAAATCCTTCGCAATTCAAAGATAGTTTATGCGCCATTCAAAGTGCCGAAAATGACAAGCAGTTGTCCCGTTCGTTAAAACAGAATAAGATTTCAATGGGTTTAATTGGTTACTTTCAAGAGGGCAGTGTTGATTACCGGTATATCAGAATAAAAGTGGTAAAGCCCGGTTTCGATGGAGTACAGTAAATGTTTTCCACACTTTCAATAGCGCATGACCAGTGTTGGCTTTGACAATAGAACAACTGGCTATAGGGCACGTAAATAAGGCAAAAACGTTATATGTAGTTTGGTAAAGTACTGGAGACAGTCCTAATATTCCCCAGTGACGACTCAAATGTATTAAACATATTGAGTAATTAGCAAAAAGAAAACTAAAAAGGATAGAAAACTTGTTATTTACATTGCAGGGTTGCTATAGGGAAGAAAAACCAAGGTGGAAAAATATTTTCGCGTAAAAATAACTCTAAAACTTACTCACCATCAGTTGCCTTCACCATATTTTGGCACTGTGATTTCCTTTGGGCAATGTAGCGCACTCGATGATCAGAAAGCATACTGTCTTCTCCCATCGGCGGAGCAATATTTATACCGCGGCTTTGTAAATAAGCGGGCGTTATTTGTCTCGAATATACACACATGTAACACGTTTGTGCTCTGATTGATTGGCATAGCTGTTCACCTGCACAGCATGATACCGCCCTCTGCAAGTCACCCTCGCATCTGTTTAAGATTCAAAGGATTAAAAAAATCCCGCAAAAAAATTATCCTTAGAATTGATCTAGAAATTTGGATAAAACTTGCTCTTGCTACTTCTTCAGTTGAAAATAAATAAATAAATGAATAAATGAATAAATAAATAAGTAAATCCATTGAAAAAGAATTGGTGTGAATCATTCGTAATACTGTTTTGTAACCAAAACGATACAATTGATTTTTTATGGACTAAGGTAGAGTGAAATTTAGATCGTAAGACTAATTTCGGGTAAAAGTTGTATGTGAATAGCTAATAATAATAATAATAATGGTAAGGGGTGCAAAGTTTTTTGTGTCCTTTCTTTCATTTTTCCCTTTCTTTTTTGTTTTAATTTTGCACACGACTTTCATTACAGAAATTGTGAGAGAGGCCTATTATTGATATCGAATCAGGCATGTGGCGATTTCGTGATTCGATTCTTTGGCGCTGTTATAAAAGAGAAAAATGTAATTTTATCCATTGTAACGGGTGTCATCAAATATATAGATTTATTTCACACCTGACAAATTTCATTGAGGCTGACACAATTTACTAATTTCTGAACGTGGCACGCTTAATAATGAAGACCTTGCGGTAACCTTAGAATACCAGGGAATGTCTAATTTTCCTAAAAGCATTTCGTATGATGCAAAGGCTTATAATTCCCTTTTGATAAGTTCACGTTTGACACTCAAACATTTTATCGTAATTTTCCCCTTAACAAAGGAAGCTTTTCTTAGTTTTGCAATCATTTCAAGTGATGAAATATTCATTAGTTTCTCCGAAAGTCATTTCAATGAATACTATATGTTAGAGACAGAATCTGTGACAAGGATATTTCAGAAATATCACGATTATACTACATGAAAACCAGTAGCGTCTCTCCCCCTCCTCTCTCTCTCTCTCTCTCTCTCTCTCTCTCTCTCTCCCTGTGTGTGTTTCTTATTTCTGCACTCAAACTCAGTGCAAGCATTAAGAGCAACATTTTACGTTACAGTTGCCACTCATCTACGTTTCTAATGGGCACCATACCCTCCCCCCACTCACACACAGTTTTTCAGAGATGTCTTCAGGCCTCATAAACTAAAAATCGCCTTTTTCTAACACGAGCTTTAGATTTGGGAACACAAATGCACAAATTAACGATTCCAGCCACGAATAGAGGTTACCGGAGGAGACAGGATTGTGCCGGAAGTGACGTGTAGTTGTGTAAGACGTGAAGCTGTGTGGTCATTTTTAGCTGGAGGTGAACGGGAGTGAAGACGTTGGCTCGGAGAAAAAAAAAACAGTTTTTTCAACAACATACGTGAGATAACATTTTTCTTTTGGTATTTTGGGCAGGAAATACTTGTAGAAATAATTGGTATTTGCCATGCTGTGACATTTCTACGACATGACCTGGAGGTCAGTAGAAAAATTCAGTTTTTTGGGTTGAAAATTATCGTACAGAGCCCTTTCATATATACTGCAGTGGCCGCACGCCTTCCATGCGGCTTCCTTGAAGATGGATACGTTGTCGGTGCACTGCCCTACAATTTTGTCACCCATGTGATCAGAAGAAAGTAGAGTCACAATGTCAAATGAATAACAATAAGTTTTAAACATCTGTACTATTGTTATGCCTTCTAAAACCAAAAATAGTAGAAGGCAAGGAGACCTACAACAGGTTCAATCATTATCACGATCACCGCAAGTCCACCGAACAATCAGGAACGGGAGTTCGGTTCGGGACCTTTGGGATACCATCTACGATAATGCTACGGGTGTACGATTTTAAAATTGTGTCACAAATTAAAGCTAGACAAGATCTTATGGGCCACGTAGGGGCTCCGTGCAGACGCCGCACAAAATTGGAGTTACGGGCAGTATACGAGCACCGTACGGACATCGTACGGTAAATGGCTTAAACATGCATTTTCTGGTTTGAATCCTATGTGTGTAATGAATTTGTCTTCAGTACCAGAAGAAAAATAAGAAAGCACTATGTTTATTTTTATCTGCGAGTGAAGAAAGTTGTCAGCTGTCAAGAGACATTGGTGTTTGTAGGCGAACTCACTTCTCAAATTACGCAACCTCTTAAAGCTATCAGGCATTTTTCCTGGAAATCGAATTTCCTCGAAATAATTTTTGTCTATTCACGAATTATTGTTCGACCTGCCCTTGTATTTGGATTCGATATTTTATACCATTTCTTAATAATTGCCTTGACCGACACGTCATCCTGTAAATTCAGAAAGATTTACAGCCTTAATATACGTTTATAAGATTTGTGTATCATTTTCATTTTATCATTTTTTACTGAATTGGAAAAGATAAGCAGCTTTGCAGGATATGTAGAGAGAGAGAAATGATGATTTGGGGACATTTTCTAATGTTTACATGTATCTTTAGTGATATCAAATATAAACCAGAAAAAGGGCTATCGGTTTATTATGCACGTATACCAGACATGGCCATGGTAGTGCTGAGAATTTTCCTCGAGAAAAAGCAGTCACAAGTCATTGCTTGACCGTTCCCTGAACTTAGATTCGATGTTTTATCCCATTTTTAATTTCTTAATTTAGTTCTAAATGACTAGCCAGTCACTAAGAATATCTGCCGTACTGACATTAACCGGGCATGACTTTGTTTTCACTTAATAACACGAGAAAATGGCATGGTGTTTGAATCTTGGCCTTATGTCGTGTATAATACAGATGATTCTAATTATTTTTTATTTCAAACTGCGAAACGGCAGGGCTTCAACTTTGGCTTAATAGGTACTGTAATAAAGAAATAAGGTAGGCTTCAGATGAAATGTTATTTACGGAGTTTTATCGTTTTTAAAGTCTGAAATGGGGGGGGGGGAGAGAGAACCTTTACAATATACGAATATGACTGTGGGGCGTGTTTAAAACTTTTGCCTTTAGCTGAACTCACTCTCATCAAATCAGTTTAGAAATAACCTATGCAAAACAATCATGCATCGGGTTGGGCTATCAAAGATGACAGCACTCTAGATAATTGCCTTTAACGGGCGCTCGGAGGACAATAATGTGGCATACGTAATAAAATGCCTGGGCTTCTGTGTATAAGTACGGTAGGATAAACCAACAATATGTTCATTAACAGGTGTTTGTTGAGGCAGAAGTTTAGGCTTAACACGAATCTGGGAACATTTTTTTCAATATTTAGGTCAATAAATAGACGATTTCAAAATGACGGACAAAACGATCTTCCAATATTTTTAAAGAACCTTTGTGTGCATTTTTTGTGGAGAGGGAGGGGGGGTTAGAATTCAGCTCTCAATGCAGCGGCTGTTACATTTCAGTGTAAGTTGAGAGTGAGTTCAGTAAACATGTAAGTGGGCAGTTCACTGATAAGCTTGCCTGACAGAGTCAGAATCTTCGAGAATAGTCGACAAAGAACCACCCCAATCATCTTGTCAGTCAAAACAAGGAGAGATACAGTGAACATGATGTAGCCATAAATGTTCATGCAGTATGGGGCTATAATCACCAAAGAAAAGGGTAGGAGCACCGTTTTGGAAAAGGAGGATATTCAGTGCTCCCCCTTTGCCCATGAGCACCATCACACATAAACAACTCTCAAAAATGACAGATTAAACCTTTAACAACGTGGCACTAGTACAGATATCACTAACACCTGGACTCGCTTGCTCGAAAGAATCGCTATTTGTGGCCACACGCTAAAATCTAGAAAATGTAGCGACCGATTGCTGTTTGCGATCCCGTTTTTGCATAAATTATTTGCGAAGATGGAAGTACAATAATAGACTCGAACGCCACACAAAGTGCACATTAATCATGATTTTATTTAATTCATGTTGCTAATTTTAGAGATTAATTTATTATTATAGCAATTATTTTATTATTATAGAAATATCAAAATATTGTTATTATATCTTTCTCATTCAAGGCTTCATGTAGGCCTACATCATGATCTTTCAACATTGATGATACATGTAAGACCATGTTCGGGCCTGACGTTGCGCGGGATGAGATACGCTTGTATGGCACCCGGATTATCGATTGTATTGCAGATATATACATGTACATCCAAACTGCCCCCCTCCGTGACAAGTTAGAAAGTTTCTATATGATCTTAAGCCTATCAACGAAGCTTCTGCGGCACCGTGGTAACCCCGCTGTCTAGGTAACAGCTAGCCGCGAATACACGGGTTCGAATTCTGAAAAGTAAAGTGAATTATTTTTGCAAGAAATAATTTCTGAAAAACTGCGTTTGATTACTATAAGAGAAAACACGTACGTATGAAGGGTGGGCGGGTCAGCCACAGCGCAGTAGGCAGCGTTCACGGTTGCAAATATATATTTTAAAAAATCCATCGATCATGAGAACGGAAAGTCAGGAGTTCAAATCTTGAATGACAGATGTCATTTCACCACAACAACCAGCAGCTGGCCCTGGAATCGGGAAGTCGCGAAAATGAATGAAAGCTCTCGTGGGTCCGGGCAAATTACCTTTTGCATAAAAAACGCTATAATTTAGAATAAGTGATCGATATGACAACTTATTGCTGGTCATTATCACAATGTCTGCGCCGTCATTAATATTTCCTTTCTCTTCATGTACTAAAAAAACCTAAAATGATGCTTAGGCGGGGAACCCGGATGGTCATTGATCTCAATCCTTTACAAGGTACGCCACAGATCAAACGTGAATTGAGACAATAGCTTACTCGGTGTCACACCGGTGTTACGAAACTGAGGGTCCGTGTCACAGCAAGTCCGCCATCCATTTGGTTATAATGGTTAGGGTTAGCCTTACCTAAGTGGGTCAAAATCTAGGGCGAGACTTAATGCCCCCGTGATACAAATGAATGGGAACACCAGCATGGCGCCGTGCATGTCATACTCTTTAATGTCATTGTTGAAGCCAAACTAAACCTCAGCATAAAACGAAGTCGCATTACAAAGTAATCTACTTAGGAACGTTCCGTTCGGCCTCTTAAACAAGACCTTATGTACATCATGCACCGTTGATGATAACACCATGTTCGGGTTCTGACGTTGAGCGGAACGAAATTCATTTGTGCGGCACCATTTACCAGCTACGCCACAGATGAAACTTGAATGAAGTCAATAGCTAACCAGGTGTAACGTGACAGAGAGTCCCCCGTGATAGAGTCTACTTCCCATTCATTCGCTCTTTGGTATAACTAATATTTAATTCTATCTCTATTTAATTCTATTTGATGGTAATGTTATCCAAATGCTCTGTGTTAGCTGGGGTGGTTCAAGGTCGAACTGACCCTGTCTGTTGGCAATCTCTCCGTTACCGTTAACCGCTAACTCGGCCGGCCTAAGAATTCCGATTACTGAAGTGTTATAAACTCCAAATGTCCCAAAGTAATTGCGTATACTTTTCGATCCGCTTACTTCATTTTCTCTGCCATTCTGCCATGATTTTAACACTTGGACAGACGCATACAAGACAATTGATGGCCCCGTACATGTAGCAAGCGATGCTTTCAAGCAAACTAGTCCAGAACGATCTGCTCTTAGAGTCAAGTTTTAAATTGTCGTTTCATATAGAGGTGTCACTTAACATGTAGATAGATGCAGGTTGATACCACCAGACCAATATATTAACAAATGCTGTTTATTTCTGTAATCACTTTGAATATAAAAAACAGCAAACATTATTATTATTATTATTATTATTATTATTATTATTATTATGTACAGTGCAATTAGCTCTAAAACTACAGGCCTTGGACCCATCATTTGTACACCCATGATGGATACAGGCATACGCATTATATTGTGCAAGGAATATAATTATTTATAATACTCACTAAAAATTATTTTAAGTTATCTCTTCTTCAATATATTGAACAAATAAATTGATAACAGTAAAAAATGTGAAACCCTATTTCTGATCATAGAACTTTGGTGAAAGTAGGAAAACACTGAAAATCCTGGAAATGTAGCAGCACATTTCCTATCGCATTAAGACCAAATGAAAAACAAAATGTCAATATGTAGAACAAAAATCCTGAAATCAGGCATTATCTTGAAAATACCACTCATTCAAGAATGAAATAAATCTTATTAATACATTTAAGTATACATATCCACAATCCCAATCCTACATATATTATCATTTTGGTCATGTCATGTAATGAAAAGTAGGAGCTTTCACAAACTTTAAATGATGCCTCTGATAGACATTCATCCATTACCAAATTTTAAGGTTGGAGATCCAAGGTCAGATGTTAAGCAGTAACAGCAAGCTGCCCTCTTTTTTATGTACATCTTTAAAAATCTCTGCTGGTTATTATTAGTTATTTGTTCAACTACCTATCAACTGAAGACAGTAGATCAAAGTTTCTGTCAGAATTTATCCTGAGATTTTTTTAATATGAGCACCCATGCTATGCACACACAGGTCCAGTTTATCTCACCTTACTGTTACATATCATGAAATACTGATAAACTTTGCTGTCATTGATTCTCCAATTTTTGTTCAAAATATTCCATTGACATAAAACAACTAGTCACTTCAAATTGGAACACATTTCAATACTTTAAACAATTCTTGAAAATGCTTTTGAAGATAAAGTCCACCAAGAGTGTTCATCTCCACAGCTGTACGTTCTGATCTCGGGGTTAAATGGGCTGACACACCTACAGCAACTTAGGCAGGAAAGAGGAGTTGGTGCTTTTGGGTACGCGTTGAATTTTTTTGCCATTTATGACTTGAACCATCTCCTCGTAAGTTAACGTTTCATGCTCTAAGAGAGCATCTGCTAGAGCTTTCTGTTTTTTATAGTGTACAGACAGTGTTTTCTTGGCTCGCTCATAGGATTCCTAAAAAATAAAATTAAAAGAACATTTTTCTCTTTAAAAATATATGCAATCTCCTTTTTTTTTTTTAATCCAAAATGAACACTTAATCACATTCTTAAGAAGTATGGGCTGCATCAAGGTATGTACCAACTTCTGTGTCTCTGTAGTACGTGTGTGTTTTTATGTGTGCATGTGCATTCATACGTGATCTCAAAGTTCCGACAGAGGTCATTTTACTTTAGTCCAATCCCCTTGACATAGATCACATTCACAACAGATGATCCGCGGACTAAATATGGTCAACCAGACTAAAAAGCAATGCCAAACTAGAGGATCAGAGAGGCGATACCGCCTCCGATTATTGTACCACCAGCTGGAGCAAGCGCATTTGTATAGACCCCCACATACACAAAATAAAAATAATCCCTTAGTGGTCTCCCTGCCTCTGCACGCGCCTTTCCTGCAGGGGTCTTGGAATTAAACCTCCAAGCCGAGATTTAATCCACATGGAGACTGGGGGCCATTTAAGGATTAGGTGGCATTGCTTTTATGTTGGGTCAGCCATATGTAGTCTGGGGATCAGTTAATCCGTAGTTCATCTGTTCTGAATGCTGCCATATAGGTGGCTGCTTGCACACACCTCAAATCACTTCAGTTTTTGGAACAATAAATGTAAGCACATATTTCACCTCAGTTACACAAACAGACCCAACCCTATTCTATGGTGAAAAAAGTTTTTTTCAGTGAATGTTGTAAAGTTATGAAAATTAAGTTTTAAAAATTTATTTCTCACCTATAAGGTATGGCATTTCCACGTATCAACTTTTGAACAAGGCATTGTGATAAAGGCTTGAAAAATCGTAATTCATAAAAAAATTTTCCCCATTTTTTATAACTTTGAAAGCTACTTTCGTATTATCACATTACCTGCAGCATCCTCTTGATTTCCTCATCCACCTCTTTCCTGTGTTCTTCGCTGAGAGTGCGAGCATCATTCTCATTAAGCGTGCGCAGACCCACCTGCGAGGAAAGTCAGAAAATATTTCCTTAAATATAAGAGAGAGAGACAGCGCGTGCGCTGAAATGGCATGTTTGGCAGCCATTCTCAAACACAATCACAGCTTTCCCTGGCATTTTTTTAGCCCTACACCCAGTGCATTTATAAAGTTGCAGGTGCACCACACACAATACACACACAAATCTACATGTACATATATCATGTACATTCTAACTCCCAACCAAAATAGCAACCTATCAGCAAAGACAGGTGTACCATGTACTGTACATACATAGAAGATTCTTCATATATCATCATATAGGTCTTGTATAAAAAATAAGTGAGATTTAAATACATCTTTTAAGATATATTTGCCACAGTATCTTTTAATATTTTCCTATAGGGTAAACAACGATTTACCCATACTTACCAATGTTAATGAGCAGGCTACCATATAGCACTATTCTCTGCACAGGAAAATCCTAATGTGTGAGTTATAGTTATCTCAGTTGATCTTTATAGATGCATTTAAATCTTACTTATGTACATGTACATAAATCCAAACATAGATACATGCAAGCATGTACACTTCCAATTCACTGTTGTTGCATACCATGGTAAATTCATTGAGTGGACTGACCTTCTCTGACATGGCCCATCTGGAAACCATGGACTTGGCAAGGAGACTGGCCTGGTCACAGTCCGATGAAGCACCTGTGGTGACTTTGCCAGATCCAACCAATAACTCCTCGGCTGCCCTTCCCCCCAGCAGTGTGTCTAGTCTGCCCAGTAGCTGTTCTCTGTTAAGGCTGGTTACATCTTTCTCTGTGTAAAATGAAGTCTGAAGGCAAAAGTGATTAAGGTTTTAGCGTAAAACAGTCCAAACGTATAGATGATTAAGTTCTCGGTGTAAAACAGTATTCAAATAAAGGGCAAGATTAGTAGGCTAAGCATTTTCTGTCATGTTCTTGAGAAATAATTCTAAAAAATTACCCCAATCCATCATGTATTACTAAAATTATACTCACATGTCCCAGAGAACCAGATGACCTTGGCAGTATGGTCAATTTGTGGACCTTTTCAATGCTCTTGCTAAAGAACCCCACCAGCGCATGCCCAGCTTCATGGTGGGCTGTCAGCAATTTTTCCTCGTGAGAAAGGAGTTTGACTCTGTTCGCCAGTGCCAAGCCTGAAGAACGATTGTACTGAATTAGATAATCAGAACTTGATAACCAAAGAAATATTTTTCAATAAATCACATGAACATCCAAGAGTTTTTCATTGCTAAAACTTGCAATGAAGTGGACAGCTTGAAATTAATTATAAGTTTTCCTGCTGCTGATGATCTGACCAAACAACCCAATCACTGACCCTTAACTCACGAAAGGACGTCACAGTGTGGCAGATCACAGGTTTGGGAGTTATGTATCATATATCTTTAATTATCTCACCCATTCTGATTCTGTCGAGTGCTGTATCAAAGTGAGACGCATCTACTTCAGTGGCGCCATCTACTGCTGCTCTGAGGGCAGCCTGGTTGACGAAGTTGGCCAAGTCAGCACCTAGAAAAAAATTAGACAATGCTGCCAAATGTACCAACTCCTCTCCAATTTTCATTTTTATAATGATATTGATTATTCATATCTAAGTAATAGTTTCAAAGTCAGATGGATCGTTAAGCTATCATGTCTCTTGAAGATAAAATTCATTGAAAAAATGTTAGATGGAAAGCACCACTTTGTGTGAGAGGAAGAAGAAAATGGAAAATAAGTTTTCACGGCATTCCTTTTCTTTAGTATTGGTGGCATGCCAACTAACTTCATAAACTCCATTAAATGATCAGTATATTAACTAAATAGCATTAATAACGTATAAAACTTAACATCTTTTTTATCTCCAGACTTACCAGTCATTCCAGTCGTCAGCTTGGCTAGCCTACCAATATCTGTGTCTGCAAACAGAATTATGTACAATGAATTCAACAGTATTTTTCCCTGTGAAACTGGTTTGACCCTTGGGGGGGGGGGGGTTCTTAAATATAGTTCTATTCCTATATATTGCCTATTTTAAATTTTAAATTAGTTAATCATTAGTTTGTAGGCAAATTTGTCGCTAAGTTCACCAGGCAATTGTCTCTGACCTCTGACCTATGTGGCAGACGACATGGTCAGACTTCCCATGATGCACTTCTGTCCTGCTATGTTATCCCTTCAGTTTCTTACCAGGTGCACACTTGATCTTCTTGATGTAAAGTTCAAGGATTTCTGTTCGTCCCTCTAGGTCAGGAATACCTATGTCCACCTGAGTATCAAACCTTCCTGGCCTCCTTACAGCACTGAAACAATTGGAAAAAGAGGTTGGGGGAGAAAATATAATATTTGAAATCAAGGATGAGTATGCCAAGAACACATATATTGAGACGAAAAATTCCTGTGAAGGATGACAGACAATTATATATTCCTGCTTTTATTCTTATATAAACACACCATAAGAAACCTAGCATTAAGGTAGAAGTGCAAGAAAATGAATTATTAATTATGGTGGTTAACAAACAAAGTAATGATTCCAATAATTATAAAATGCACAAAATTGCAATTTAATGCCAATGTTAAAACTGCTGCAAAATTTTCCAGACTCAGATAAAAAAAGTGTGCAGGACAGCACTTGAAAAAAAGGGTTAAAGCTTATCAGTGGTATAAAAAATTAACTTCTATAAGCCACATGTTGAAAATATTTAATGTTCAGTATATATTTATGTATGAACATGGTGGCAACTCACCTATCTAATACCTCAGCCCTATTGGTAGCTCCCAAAACAATCACTCCTTCTGAGGAACTAAACCTGAAATAATAAAAATATGTGTATAACAATTTGACTGACTCAAAATATTAATAAGACAATTAACAGAACTCTATTTGACAATAAATAATTTGGTTTCCATTTTCCTTGAGAGACAAAGCACCCAATTCAGTATAAAAAGTTTAATGAAATTCCAAGATCAACAAAAGTGCTCAAAATAATTATGAGGTTCCAAGTCACATTCCTCACAAAGCAGCACCTCACAAAAGGACACCTTACACTCACCAAATTGTCACATTAGCCACATGGCAACCATAATAACTAACCACCACAACTGCTAACCAAATATCACATTTGCCAAATCACATCTACTCACCCAAAGTCACTTATCTCACTCCACGACTACTCACAAAGTCGCATTCTTCACTCCACAACTACTCACACAAGGTCAATTTCCACCACAAATATTCACATAAGGTCACTTATCTCACACCACAACTACTCACACAAGGTCAATTTCCACCACAACTACTTACCCGTCCATCTCTGACAAGAGTTGATTAATAGTCTGATTGGCATAGGGCTGCATGGCATTGGCTGTTCTTTTACCAGCCAGTGAGTCAATTTCATCAATAAATATCACAGCAGGTGCTTTACTCTTAGCTTTCTCTGACAAGATAATAAAGGAAAATAAACACAGATACCTTATATGTTAATCGGACTAAAGAATACGTTACAAATAATCTACATTCAACCATAACTGAATCAAGTGAGAAAGGGATTTTTCAGGCCTGTGTCACAGTGGTGATTTCGTGTCCAAATTGCATTTCAGAAACTTCTCAGAAAGGATAATACAGGAATATGTGAAAGAATTCAAAATTACTCACTGACAGGTGCCTGGGTTAAAATTGATTATATTGGTTGAATCTATGTAAGAGTGTGTAATTGAATAGTATGAATTGCAATCAAGTTTTAAATGGCGATTTCAGTGGCAAAAGGATAAAAAAACACCAACAGATACACAAAACTGACCAACATATTGATGATATCATATTATATAAAATCGTATAAATCATACTAGAGTACCTAAATGCTTAAGCTCAGAGGAGCAATATTTAAATGCTAGTAGGTTAAGAAAACTTACTGAATATATTCCTCACTCTACTTGCTCCGACACCAACAAACACTTCATCAAATTGGGAGCCTGAGGCATAAAAAAATGGAACACCAGCTTCACCTGCAATGTAGAAGAAAAACATGTCATCTGTGTGGCTTTGGAAAAAAGGGATTGGTGCACGTATATACTGCAAGTTCTTCAAATTTCCACATAAAACCTATTTAAACTGTAATTATATCACTGAAACTTGAACATCAATATTTAATGTATCTAAGTAGGATATTGGTGCATAATATACATGTAGGAAGATGTGTGCACATGCGAAAGTTAATTTTTTCTTCCAGCTAGGACGATTTACCCGCAATCGCTTTAGCTATTAAAGTCTTTCCAACACCAGGAGGCCCAACCAAGAGAACCCCTTTAGGAAGTTTGGCTCCCATTTCATTGAAGCGCTCTGGGTCTTGCAAGAACATCACTAAATCTTTTAATTCTTCCAGTGCCTCATTTTGCTACAAAATTCAAATATATATAATTTTTCAGTTGCTATATTAGAAACACACTATGTCAAGAATGTCGATATTTATCAAATAAGCAACTACTTCATATACAATAATTCTGTCCAACACTGAAGCTAATAAATTGGCACATGACAGTGGTTAACATATCCTTCTTCAAACCTACAGTTGTCTTTGGCTCACGGGCAATTAAATATTATAAGAATTCAGAAAAGGAAGAAAGTACTCTGAAGTGGTTGCTCACCCCTTTAACATCACTAAAGCCAATATCTGGGTTGACCATGGAAACCTCGTAGTTATCTCTTGATATAATAGAAGAAATCTGACCAGGTCCTGAAAACACTGAACAAAAAATTCTTTTTCTTAAAACTATGACTGTGGATCCAAGAAAAAAAAATGAAAAACCAATGCAAAAATTGTCAAACTTTGTTTTACCTTGACAAAATGAAAAGGCTAATTATCTATTTGAATAATAAAAGAATGTATTACCAAGTATTTTATGAAAACTGATCAGTTCCATAAGTATGGAGGCAATAGGTAACACAATTTCCCTTTTATTTGCATAACAGTGGTTAAAATATGCTGAAAAAAGCAAAAAACAGCTCAACTTTTGGGAAAATGGTCTGATCACGCTGATTTTTGAACTCGACCTGTATCAGTGTTCCCAAAAAACTTTGGGCACCTGCCTAACATTATGTCTGACATAAAATATCTTTGTCAGACATTTTTTATTATATCAGACATTTGAAGAGCATATAGTTTTTCATGTTTTAAAGAACAGCAGCACATAAAAATGTCGAACTGTGTGGCATTCTATTTGAGTTCAAAACAATAAAGTAAGTTCCAGTAAATGCTTTAGCAGTCGTGCAGAAAATGTACTAGTAGATGTAAGCCCCAGAATTTTGCAAGAAGGCTAGAAAATGCTTCTTCAGGGCAAAACGGTAGACTAAAAGAGTATCAATGCATGACCTTCATTCTCCCCACAGGAGTACAGAGCACGTGGCTAAAAGTGCTTACAACTAGGCCAGGGCTTAGTATTTTAAATGCTCTGTCATCTGATAGTAAATTTGATATTATATATTTCTGTATGTGCATTTTGCTTACTGATTTTGTTGTCTTGCATTTATTGTATTGTAATAATAAAGTTCTAATGCTACTTTGGACATTGTGACTGACATTACACATCGAACATTTTAAATTTATGGCGGACTGCCTGTATTTTGTCAATATTTGTCAGTTCTGTAAGTTCGAACACCATGAGTAAAAACATTTATTATCTTATTTGCATAACACTGAAAGTGCACAGTGCCGACACCGTCGACAACAGACACAGGAGATGGCTCTATGTAAAGACACATCTGTTTCTGTATGTAAAAATGGTCAATGTCCCTGCTCCTATAATTAGACAGAAGCAAGTAACCTCAGTCTTTACATAGTAAAATCATCAGTATTTAACTTACTTAGGAACAGAAGTACAAAGACTGTAGACCACAGGAAAATCTTCAGAAAATTTGTTGAAAAACCATCCGCTAAATTTTTAGTAGACTGGAATAAAAAAACGCATTTTAACAAATCAGTAATAATCCACTTTAAAAAATGTTGCACCTGCATTTATGACTTAATAAATGTTTTAGACCACTGGCTACTTTTAATATTATCATAATAATTTATATTATTATTGTGGCTTACTGCACATTTATTCCAAATTGAAAAATCCAAAATTTTTGATGTAAACTCCTATACCAAGCCAACCCTCTCAATAATACCTATGATGTGCCAAAATAACTCATAACTGACTCTTTCAATGCAAATATTTTAACATGGACTCTAGCAAGACAAAAAAAAAAAACAAACTTTTTTCAAAAATGTTATAACTTTCCATACAAACCATCACGTAACAGCAAATACTAAACAGAGGAATCAATTAAATGGAATCTTATTTCAATCATGCCAGATTTAAACCAATAAAAACTGACAAAATTGAAAGAAAAATTAAAATAAAATCTAAAAGTGTAACAAAATTGTAACATAATTTTACAATTACGAAATCCAATTGTGTATTTATTGCAGATTATGTAACATTAATTCGGTAATACAAATGAAACCTTTCCAGCATCTGATTTTGTTTTTTCTTCTGCATCTGATTTTGTTTTTTCTTCTGTCCTCTCTCTGGTTTTCTTTGCTGTTTTCTCAACAGTTTCTGGAGAGATCACTCCAATGGCTCGTGAGTGTTTAGTTTTAAAACCACGTGTTTGTTGCAGACCTGGAATACAATATAAAAGACACACTAATAATAACATTCATGGTGCTACTGCAGTATACAGTAACAAATTTCTCATCAGGGAAGGACAAAATGGGGTATAATGGCCTTCTACGGGTAGATATTGGAGGGTTAACAGAGTGAATAGACTTCCACTTAAGTTAGATATTGGTGGGTTAACAGAGGAAATAGACTGTGAACTAAACTGATGGCAATTAAAACTTGTTAAACATATATTGACAGACGATTGGTCTTAATCAATATTGCAAAATATAATCATTTTCACCATCCACTGCCAACTCGGCAGTCGACCATCTTGACACAATTGGAAAATAATGTGGGCCATGGCTAATATTAGCTGGAAGTCAAGTCAGTAGAATGAACGGCATATCTGGAAACCTCTGCTATGTGTGGGTTTTGATCTTTTGCTTTTCCTTTTAAGTGTTACAAAAGACATGCTGAAACTGCCAGTCTGATCGATCATGACCAGGAAAATTTGTCTGGACTGGTAGAAAATTGGCTTTGATTGCTCCTAAGGACCGACAAGAGTTTTAAGAACCACAATTTTGAATTTACAGTCATCTTTCGACAAAATTCACTAATGAAATTACATAAAACCCAAAGCATTTTCCCTTCCATTTCAAGCCTATCACATTCACAAACAAAGTAAGCTACCTAATCGTACTGGTAGTATCTGTCTCAAATGAATAGGGGGATTTTGGGTACGACAAAAATCCATTCGGTCTGGCATATTTTTCATTACTGCCGGTCCAAATTTCCGGTCCTTCTGAAAAGTTTTCAGCATGTCTGTTACAAGAGACTTTACGAAAGGGGTTGGACCATTGGATATGCCTGGCAAATTTCGTCTCGGTCCGATAAAAAATCCTGTATTGTCGGACCTTCTGTTTGGCAAGTTTTCAAACTGACTGGGAATGTGTAAATATAGGGAATACATTGTTGTTTCTTTTCTGAACGATATATTTCGAAAAGAAAAATGGGATCAAACTCCAGGGACGTTCCCAGCTAATTATACATAATTTATTACCTCAGTTTCACTCAAATGCTATTTTGTGACTGGCTGAGGTTGGGGGATTCCTGGATGATGTAAGATACAGTCTCGTTTTCATTTTCGTGATACCCTTACGCGACAAAATGGCCACAGGACATGTGCTCATGCTTTTTTGCGTTTTTTACTGACTTGATCCTATGTTTCTTCATTATATGTTGTGCACAGTACTCATGGCTAAGTCTTTTGTTTAGAAATGTGATGTTGTTGAAATTAAAATACTTCGTTGGTGCACAACATGGGGAAAAAATGAAAACGAAGTGTGGAAAAGAGCCAGATTGATCGGAAGTTTTCTGAAATTGGAAAGAAGGTGGGCCCTGGCGGACTTAGAATCTGGAGGAGAGGAAAATGGTGTGTACCGAGTGTCAGGAGTATTATGATCAACAGCAACATAAATCTTACTGCTTTATTATGGGTTCTGAAATTATCAAAAATTATATGTCTACTTTTACATGTACCGTTCACGACCACGAGTTGGAGAAAGTGCACATAACTTGATGAAGGCTCATAGTGTGCGTTTCTTTTTATAAAAAAAAATGAAGAAGGAATTTTGACTCAGGCTGGGCAGTCCCTATCAAAGTTTCAATTGGATGAAAGAGACTGCCTTACTGTGCTGTTTCACAATGCATACCAGTATGTTATATTGCCAAAAAAAAAAAAAAAACAATGGATGAAATGGTTATCTGATTAATAGATGTTTTTTTTTTTTTTTTTGGACAAACGTTTGATATGACTGGCTACAAATTCTTCATACTTGTATTGGTATTAGTCCTTGTGTCATTCTACAACACCTTTTTCATTAGATAAAAAAAACTTGTTATGCAAATAATTTTTTGTCTATTTTTGTTTTTTTGTTTTTTTTTTACACACACACACATTTAATGCTGATGATTAAAAATGTTATAAAATACACCTGAAAACATAAATGATTTGTCGTATTTCAATTATTTCACTTTGGTCTGACAGATTTTGTTTCGGTCTGACAGAATTTTCAAGCTTGCCAGACCGAATGTCTGACAGATTTTTTGGCCTTTCGTAAAGTCTGTTACAAAGTTATGGCAAGTGTCAGAAAAGGAAGATTAAAGATTGGTTGGTCAAGGGAAGATGTCTTTTACCCTGGGGAAATTATTTAAATATGAGTTTTGAAGGGAAAACACTTCCTTGGAAGCCTTTAAGTAAACCTCCAGTACCAACAACTCACCTCTACATGCATGCTGTCTACTTGCTAGAAATATACTTCCTTCAACTATCTGTGGTGAGGTAATGTCTGAAAAAAGTTTTAGTCACAGCTATCAAAAAAATGAGCATATCTCAACTTAGAAAAATTCTTGAAAACTCAATCTTTGCCAAATGTGACACAGTAAGTTTACATAGGTAGGAGTGAATATGGAAAAACTTCTGCTTTGTTTCTTAACAAGAAAGACTTGGCAATTGTTTCAGACTTAAACTTTATCTTTATTCAACCACTTGCTTTAGATTTAAATTACTACATTTTGGTCACACAGTTTAGACCAACTTTCAAACTTTAGAAGTGTTGAGAAAATGACCCCTGTCTAATATGTGCAGTTATTGGAACAAAACTCACATGGATGATTCACTTGCTGTAACAATCTGTGTACCAATCTATGTATCTTTTCTTGACCGGGGCATAACTGGCTCTGTAACAGACTCTCAGGAAAACCTGAAAAAATGTTAAAACATCTAAAAGCATCAGATATTTAGTAATATGTTAAAAGCAAAATGCAAAGTTTGGGTTATAGCCTGTTTCCTTGGTAGATCGGCCAGATTTACAATTTTATATCTGGTTTTCATCGAATTGTTTAATTCTGATAGGTTCTCAACCCACAAGGCAGTATACAACATAATCAGCAATTGGGCATGACTCTGAAATTCCGTGACCAAATAACAGTTTCACATTTTTGATTCCACGTTAAACCTGCTTTGGCCACCTCTGATGATTCTCATTACCATGCATAACTGGTTCACCTAATACCGTACCATTCTTACCATTTTTATTCTCAAAGAATGTGTGCCCAGACTGGTAGGAAGACTTCCAGCATGTGTGACCAGTGGAGACTTCAGGTAGAACTCTGGAGATGGAGCTTAGCAATTCTGGACTTGTCTTTATCTTTAACAAACCTGATAAGTCCAGATTTCCCTGCAATAAAAAGTTAACAATGAAGACTATTATCTTTTTTTAAAAATCTATTTCGAAGTTAGCATTAAAAGCTGTAAAATAGTTAATTTCTATTATCAATCACTCTTTATCCTTTCATACTCTTCCCAATGTTTATTCTATCTTTATTTTTGAAAATAACAGATATGCATTCAAGAATACATAATGTATCAAGTAATTCTTATACTATACAGGCCTTTATAATCATAATGCATTTTCTTATTGACCAATTTTGTAAGATAATCACTGTTTCTTACCTAATTTTATATTACACAATGTCATTCAGGAAAAAGTAATTCATTTCATACTTTTCTTTCTTATTTAAAATTAAATCTTATTGGGTAACATCATGAGTTAGAAATTTACTGGATAAATTATTACTGTGCTTAGGGTCACTATAGGAGGCTTTACCTGATGACTTTAAATAAATATCTCTCTTCTCATTTATGAAACTTACTTTACTACTTATTTATTTCAGAGATCAATATTTAATATGCTACTTTTACAAACCCAGCACTTACAAGTACCACAGTGTTATCTCCTTTCACAGGCTTTCTGTCAATTTGTTTCACCTCTGTCACAATTTCTTTCACACTCCTTCTAGAAGCAGTGCGAACACCAGAAGGGCGCACAGTGCTCCAGGCAAGATGGCAAATTGGAAATACTGCCTGTAAGTAAATATTTACCTCCATTAAGGCAGATTGAGAGAACCAAATAGCAGTCTAACTAGTAGACAAAGCTAAGCAGAAGAATTTTAATGTAATATAAACAAATATATAATCACTTTAGTTTCCAACCACACGTGAAGATAGCAGGCTTTTTTTTTTTTTTTTTGCTAAATTGATCACCCACCTCGTCTTAGAATACAGAACAGATGATAAAAGGTGACACGAATTATTACATAAACAGCCCATAAAAAGTGTCCCCTGAGTGTCCAATTTCTACCCATTTTCATATCATTATTGCATGCTGCTTTGCAACTACTGCTTCAGGAAATGAACATGTGTTGAAATTTGACTTACACATTGAACAGTCAGTATAGCAACTGCCACGCCACTGTTTTGACAACTTTGGAAAGGTTGAAAGTGAAAATATTCCAGGGTTAACTTTTAAATTGACTTAATCTTAAAAGTGGTAAAGGGTTGCAAGATTAAATATATGACGTGTAATATAAACAAGGACTTAACTTTTTCCAACAGCATGTCAGTTTTTTGGTAAAATTTGGGAAATATTTATTTTGTAATAAGGCTTTCTCCAGCGCCTCAAATATAGCTGAATGGCTTACAAGATTTTTGGCTTGGTTGGTTTGACTCCCTATGAATTAATTCAACCAAATTACAGATTCACAGGTGGACTCCCTGCACCCCAATTCCCAGGGAAACCAGCTTTAATTTGTAATATTTTGCCTCCCCATCCTCTTGTTCCCCATTCTACCAATGTTAGGAGGTAAAGTTCTACTGCATATACTTTGTATCAATTTGTATTTTCCATATTGCACACATCCTTGGCCAAAAATTATTTCACTTTGTCTGCTTCACTAGAATCAAATTTTAAACTGTGTGCCCATGCTAAGCACATTTACTAATCATGCGACAAATTTCAAGTTCCCATGATATTATTTAGGGGGTGAAAATCAAGTGCAGCAACTTTGAGTCTTTTTTGAAAGTTGCATCTGAAAAAAATTCAGACATGGTTTCATAAAACTTGAATAAGTTTTTATCGAAATGATATAGTTAAAAAATTTAATGGTTTATTCATACTCTGATAAGTAGCTATCTGTGTGTAAAATATCAAGTCTCTTACTTATTAAAAAATGTGTGGACCCTACTTAAGTTAAGAGTCTTACACACCTAGCATAGCATATGTGTCATCGACTTTACACTTGGGCATCACACTTGCTTCAACTAGTTAGCATTAGTAATAGTAACGTTAGTGCATAACCAGGGTACCCATGGAGTACATTGCCACCCAACAGACCAGTGTTGGTAGCATTAGTCTTAAAAGCTGTCTGGGCACTTGACTTTCTGCTGACTTGTTGAGGCTGCAGACAGCATTACCAGGCCCAGTGGAAATTACGTAAATTTCATAGGCATAGCCCAGATGGTTATTTGAGAATTCAGATGCACATTATAGTACATGGTTGTTATTGGTTGTCTTTAACTTACCTGTTGTGGTAGAATACTCGGACTGAACATTTTGAGCTAATCAATTTGTAAACATTTGACCAATATTGACGAAATAATAGAAAGAACCCGATCGACTGCAGTCTGACCGGAAATGGGGATTCTGAAAGCCTACTGAAAGACTGCTTTTGATTGGCTTGTGGTACAATGAGCACTCCAATGGCTGCTATCGTTACATTAAGTGCTTGTAGAAAGATTATGCGATAACCGTGAGGTGTTGCATGTGCATATGTAGTTCCTTTTCTTGTCCAATGTTTCGATGTCTGCCGTCTATCAGATTTGATCAATCCATTCAGTGGTGTATTTGGCATAGAACTAAGGCAAATAAATACTAATAGTTAAAATATTACAGGCCCGTAGCCAGCAATTTCAAAGGGGGGGGGGGTTCTTTTTCTGAAAAAGTGGACCTTTTACCATGTAATCCCCATGTACATGTACATGTACCTAGGTCAAATTTTACCCAGAGTGGACCTTTTTCCAGCAAAAAGGGGGGTTCTTTCGAGGGGGGGGGGGGGGCAAGGCAAATATATCTCCTGAATATAAGCTATTCACTTGGAAAGCAGGCTACCTAATTTTGAAAAAAAAAAAAAAGACTCGATCACTGCCTGGCATATGATTATGATTTTGACTTATTAGGTGCGTTAACTGTCTGTGCTCTCTCTCTCTCTCTCTCTCTCTCTCTCTCTCTGAAGCCATTTTTCTTTCCATCGTTGAACTATTAGTATTTCTTGAGTCTTGACGACAAACAGTAAATATAGCAGTCGTTATTACACTGCTCTTGAGCTTGTATTTGTACTTAGGCCTATACCTTGTAATAATAGTGTAGGCCTACGTTGTGGATATATAGTCTGATCATGGCTTCAGTAAACGTTGTGCTATCTAAAGTCGGTGGAGGTCGTAATAATTGAATATTTTCAACCATTTGCACCAGTAGATTAAAACTAGGAATTTGGTGGGTTCTAGACCAAAACAAACGACACAGTGTCAATCCCTGACAAGCAAAATCCAAGATGGCTTGCTTTCGGCGACAGTATTTTCATATGATACCCGTGTCTATCCGAAAAATGATGGAGGTTGTTAATTGTACGTTACAATTAAAACCCAATGTAATATACAACATTTTTTTATGACAGACATAGTGGACCTGCAGAAAACATAAACTGTGATGCAGGTTTTGCATAAAACATCTATTTTAAACGCAGGGCGTATTTTGTAACGGAATCTTGTTAGCATGCATCTGTTATAACAATTACAAGGTGAAATTTCCGCACAGTCCTACAGATGGTTTATGCTGAATGTAGAATTTATCCCGAGTTTTTTTTCTATGAAATCATACCTATGTAAAAAGATTGTATTTTAAGGCGAAGCAAAAGGACAAGTAAGCCATATGGAACCTTTCACTGAGCTCAAAAAGAGTTGGGGATAAACATTCTAAAAAATTGCCAGATTAAAGGGCCAAGGCGTTCAACCAATGTTTGTTGAACTTTCTAAGCTCAAATGATACTTTTTGATCATTTGAGAAGAGTCATATTCGCAAGTATTTTCTAATCTATGTCAGCTGTCGAAGAAGATTGAAAAAAAAGCGCTTTTAAAAGCTTGTTTCAGAGCTACGATGCGTGTCAGTAAGGGAGAGTCATACTTTGCAAGTGATGAGTCGAAGAAACACAGCATTTGAAGGTACACTTCTTGAATATTCCCCAAATGCTTATTGCCAACCACAGCTTCTTATAAAACCTTACATACACCTAAGAACGCGTTTTCAACCTTCAAATAATTTTCTGGAGTGTACCTGATGTTGAAACTTCCATCGGAACTTAAGATGATGGTCGCTGGTTATAATGACTGGATAGTCATTTCAAACTTAAACAACTTTTATTAATTTAATTAATAAAGGTTGAATCCAAGTGCAGAGATCTGATGGATAGATTAATGATTCACGAGTAAAAGAAAATTGCTTATTTTCTCGGGAAATCTATTTGGCGGCTAACTCCCATGGAGTTGCCCTATAATCAGGAATAATTTGTTTCGCATAATTATTAAATATCTTTAGCAGGACACCTTTTATGATTGGTGTCCCATGAAAATCAAATCTGTCTTTTTGGGTGCCCAGCAAAGTATTCTGTTCACCGTAATCATAAATCCGATGATCTTCGTGTTGACCATATAAACTTAAAATGTTTATGCACGCAAACAGACTGAAAAGCAACGCTTAAGCGCTCTATCGATACTTTTTTCTTAATATACGTCAGCTTTATCTTATTCGTTGATGGGAAACACGATAAACCAACGCGTTTCCAGATCTTGTTTTATTATTTCGGTCAACCTAATCGAAAATGTATACCATCTTTCGCTGTAGGTGCCCTTTGTCCATTATCTGCAGTACAAATGTATAAAGGAAGTCAAATGTAATGGCATTATAAACCTCGATATATTCTGACATGATAAATTCGTCTCGTGTGCTTTTAACCACAATCTTATAATTCTGACAAATTGCCATTTAATGTCATTTTCCTTTCAATATCTCGTTACTACAATTATTATCACTGTATTAGTTAGCTCACATGATATGATGAACTAACAAAAACCTCTTAACTGTCTGATTTTATTATATTGCAATGTATCCTGTCTAACTATAAAATATGCAGGTGAAATGACCCCATTAATGAGACACCTCAATGGCAAAATGGAAACAGGCAGAGACTGAGAAAGTATATAATTACTATTGCGATTCAAAAGGACTTCGTGCGTGGCGTCACTTGTAGCTAGTCGATTACCCTCTACCAGGGCCGCAGTTATTATTGTGGATATTACTGAGAGCCAAAATGACTGTCTATTTATCTATAGACATATCTATAAATATCTGTGGAAAATCAATCTGTCGCCCTGGTAGAGAGTACTAGTCGATCGGGTCGATCTGCTTAACCGACAGTATGGATTCATCTGTCGAGAAAAACCGTGCAATTAATGGAAAATGGTGAGCTGGAAATCCACCAATATATCACACATGTAGCACAGCGTATGCAAACGTTAACGCATGTTAACCAAAGAGTCAAGGGCAAAGAAAAATAAAATAGTCATAGATTTTAATATATATTCTCATATTTAGTATAGAAGATATTCTAAAAGGTGAAATCATTAGTATAATCCACTGCTTTGGCCAACTTATTGCACGGTTTGGCCTATTTGAACCAAAATGTAGTGACCCCTCAAGATAAGCTTAATTTGTCGCTAAATGGACCTCTAACTTGCCTATTAAAGACAAAAGGCCCTGTTCTTGTTGTTTCCCTTTTTTTAGAGAGAGAGAGAGAGACAAAGAGAGGTGTGTTTATTTTATCTCTGAAGGAGCAACTGTGAAAAAAAATTGACACGATTATTAGGGCTGCTGGTCACGTTTTAACGTCTATATAAAAGAGACAGCTAGTTACTCCTGGCGTGGATGGGATCGCCGCACGAGAGCCACTCAGTGCTTGAACATGCAGTGGGTCAGGCAGAATTGTTTGATTTTCTTCACTTTACTCTCACTGGTAAGTACGCATCAAACGTTTTTCCGCTTTTTAGGCAAAATTTATCGAATTACCTCCGCCCAAGGAGGTAATATTTCTGTTTGTTAGTAACTCTGTAGTTAGTTTGTCTGTCTACCAGTAGCATAACGCAAACATTTATTTACAGATTTTGATACGTTTTTTTATTGCGGTGAATCGGAATACATGTAGTTAAAGAAAGGTAGAATTGGATACGTTTTTATGTAGTCCGACGGAGTACTTTTTTAATATTCAATTCCCGGAAAACCCGGGCCCAAACGATAGCCTGATGCGGTGTAATTGACGATAATGCAAAACAACTCACCAGAACCTCTACTTCTATGCCTGAACGCAACTGCAGAAAACTCGCTGAAACGGAAGGGACGTAATGTACTTGGTAGACTCGTTTAACCGCCATGCTGCTTATGATATGAATGGTTTGGAAGCTTGTAGCGAGTCGTAATTCTCATCGTTTTGACTGAAACATGTTGAAGAGAGGCAATGGGCGCTATTGTGTGGCGCAGGGATGCAATAGTAGCTCTATTGACGAAGTTTTGCTTCATTGCTTTCGGGTAAAGAAACAGAAATTGAGAAGACAATGGATTAATTTTGTTCACGTGCCACGTAAAGATTTTGATGTGCCGTCAAAAACGATGCAGATAAGTGAGAAACATTTTGAGGCTTTGCGTTACCTAATAAAGTAACGACTATTGAAAAGCATGGAAAAAGAATAAGAAATAAAATGTAAAACTTTGCTAACAGAGGCTCGCATGCATAGGAAGAAATTCATCATACAAGGTATCAGATTGTACACCCAAACCCAATATAGAGGTGCATTTCACATGCTGAAGTGTAAAAAAAAAACTTGAATGAATTCAAAGTTGTATTCAGTTTTTTTAAAACATGTGTATAGAACAAAAATCCAAATTTAAATTCAAATTTTTATCTTACCATGCCTTTTACATTACGCAAAGAGCCCTAAATGGTTACACATGTTCCAAAAGAGTACGGTAACGGGTCCTTAAATAATGTGGAGCTGTTCATTAAGATCAATTGGTAAGTTACAGAAATACAAGATGTACTGCAATGTTTAGTTGTGCATCTTATGGATAATGTGTAATATACATGCGGGCTTAAATACCTGTGTTTTTCCATTCAGATCCACAAGGCATATCCGCTGGGTAACTGTACAGTCGTTGGAGGCGGGATAAGTAAGTAAATCAAGCTGATACAGATATTCACGTACCTCTTTTCACTGAAGACATGTTATGGTCTTGTTCCTTTTAATAAGACTTTTGCGGTTGATGTAATCATTATATATACACGTATATTGCCTGTTGAGTTTTTAATAGTCCTGATGCCCCACCTGTTTGCGTGTACTTTTAGTATTAGTTTTTGCAAACATTTTCCTGTCACGCCAGAACTACAGCGTGCAGTCTTGCTAAAGATGGAATATTGCAAGAGAATATAACATCTAAGATTTTAATTACTTCAAACTAAGATAAAATGTATCCTACAACCAGCTCAGTGCTTCATTTTAACCCCGATCAAGTTGAGATGGACCACTGTCATATTGTAGGGACGACCAAAATAAGGATTAGCAAATGGCACCATTTCTTGCATGTACACTTCAGTAGCTGGGTTAAAGAACGCCTGATTAGTTCGAGCTTCACCGGGAATAGAAACCCAAATTTGGACAGAACCACCACCATGGGTATTGGGAGGAGCATGAGTATAAATTTTGTTTCATCAGAAAACCAGACATGGCGCCAGTGACGCATTTCACGGCAATGGAGTTGTTGGGTCCTTTCCTAGCTATGATGGCTATGATATTTTGCACTGGGCTTCATATGCAATTAACAAATGTTTTTAATTACCAGAACCAGACATATGCCTGAAACTCCATGGGTCCTCTGCTGAGATTAGAACAATTTATTACTTTTCAGCTGTCCTCTATATACTTTTTCGTGGATTCGTGTGTGTTCTGTCAAAAAGACTTTAAGACCCCAGGCTATGCCATTAATGTACCCTGATTTTTTAATATTTTTTAGGCCTTGAGTAGAAGTATTTAAACCTGAAGTGTTGTGTTTGTTGAAGCATGGGGAATATTTTTAAGAGAATTAAACGTTACAATGGAAGTGAATGGTATTTTTTATAGTGGTTTGTAACCTAAACCTTCAATCCGCAGACGTAAGTTGCGAGTTTTTGTACAGTGCGTCGGAAAGCTCAGAATTGCACACAGTCAATTGTAGATATAAATGCATTTTGAGCAATAAGACGAATAAATCTTATGAATCTTATATTATTGTTATATATAGTGTTGTTGTTGTCTGCTGTCCCCGCGGTTTTAAGTAGGTCACCAGAAAATATCGCTCGATATCGCATGACTATGCAATGCCAGAGAGGGCTCCGTCAGTTAAAATCTCTTAAGAGATTTTAACAAAACGTTTAGGGAAAAAATTCTGGACTAACTTTGAATGCAGGAATGGGGTCGTCGACCAATGGTAAGTACGGGAAAATTGCCGTTTACCCCAGGAAAATCCAATTTTTGGCCAAAACGAAGAGTTATTATGACTTTAAGTGGCTCTGATGTCTGGCACGCCCACTGAAGTTGTTAGGGGGTAAATAACTATCGTTTGAGTGCAGTTTAACGAGAATCCCCACGGAAATAGGTCGATCCTGCTAGATCGATCTACGAAATCTATGGTAACAGGGTCTTACTCAGGAATTGTGCAAAGATTGCATAATTTATGAAGTCTGCGAGGTACATTGTAGGCCTATTGTATATTTCAATTGTAGCGTGCGAATATTACCTTGTGATTGGAAGCGGTTACACCATGGTATACGACAGGGACCGAGTGATGCCGGATTGCACCGACCAGAATGGGCGCCCCCTTGCGACCGGATGCGTAGCTTGTAAACTGACGGAAGGGGGCGACTGTGGCGGCGTTCCCAACAAGACTCAGATTTCATTTGGTATGTTAGGGCAAGCTTTGTTCTTCAGGATTAATTAAAAATCATACCTCATGTAGTGTGCATTGTAATAAGTTTTGTTGTATTACAACTTGGGGGTTGTGCGTGCGTCTCTTCCGGCACAGAATAGCTGAACTGTCAATGTACTTTGGGACAGCAGTGGAGAAAATCAAGTGTTTTTTACTGGCAATTTCACCCTTTGAAATGTAATCATTTTTTATTTTGAACAAATATGTTAGAGTACAGGCATAAATACCCCTTATTGTGATTATTGAATGTGTTACTGTTAGGTGTGCCAAAAACTATTGGCAGGATTCCAACTCAACATTTCCTATAGGATTGCATGCTATTTGTGATAGATACAATACGAGTCGCCGAGCTGTACGTGAAATATTACGAGTGTATTGGCGAGCCGCAGGCGAGACAATACACGAGTAATTTTCACGTACAGCTCGGCGACGAGTGTTGTATCTGGCTTAAACCACGGCCTCTGATTGGCTACTACACTAGTAGTGCAACAGACCGTGGAACGCACTCGTACATGACGTGCTTGTATGTCGCATACAGCACGGCCGAGTCTTTTGTTCTACGCACTAGCCGTGGTTTAACTATACATATGGTATCTTTTTTTGCCTGCCAGTCAGGTCGAGTTGCGTCACGCGCTTTCCCCATGTGCTTAACAGCATGGAAGATGCATGTCATCAGTAAAGTTTAAAGCAATCGTTGATTCCACTTATCTTCGTGCGCGACTGTTTAAAATGACCTTATTTCTTACATGACCTTTTGTATTATTTATCTATTAATATATACCACGTTTCTTTCTAGATGATGTCAATACAGGTGACGGAGTTTACCGTAGAATCTCGACTGTAAACGGGAAGCTCGTTGGTCCAATAATACGCGTGAGCACAAAACGTCTTACAGATTTACTTAACGAGCCCCCATCCGTGAATAAATTATATTTTATTTCATAAATAATATAAGTAGTGAAAATAACTTACTATTTCGACATTTAGTTCCCTTTGGTCATGAATTCATATATACCACAGTGATGTACAAGTTACGAGAAGAGACATGTAAAAGAACAATCAACATTCCATTCAAACAGATTTAAACTACTACTAGTCTGGTTTGTTCGAGGGTTAAATTCAGGTCAGCTGACCTGCGCGTTCAAACCACCCTTCAGGACACGGAGGGGTGGTTTAAATTAATAATCGTTTAATACATAAAATTCAGATCAATACACCTTAATTTCATTCTTCATTTTTCTTACCTATCCCAGGGAAAACTGGGGGCACAAATGGTTATCCATGTGACCAACAACATGATCCACGAATCGTTGACCATTCATTGGCATGGACAGTTCCAGCGCAACACCCCTTTCATGGACGGCGTTCCCATGATCACTCAATGTCCCATACATAGTGGCCAAACATTTACCTACAGGTTCAAGGCAGACCCGGCAGGTTAGTTTAATACGATGTCCTTCATGACAACCACTGCAACGATAAATAATACAGAAAGACTGATACTGAATTTGAATATTGAAACTGATCAATAAAGGCCTTTCGCTCTTTGCTCTTATTAATGGAATACCAGCTATTTTAATATTTATAATATTAAAATGCCTCTTGCGTGAATGAAATAACCTTAAAATTTGGTGGTTTGTATTTGTGTGAACCACATTTTCATGTATATCAGGGCATCTTCTCTGTTACAGGAACATTTTGGTACCACAGTCACACTCCCGGTTCACGATCAGACGGCGTTTTGGGTGCCCTTATCATCCACGAGGACAGCAGACCTCATGGTGAGAAGTATGGCGCCAAGCATGCTCCATCTATCGGCGAGGTTTCAAATAACGACCAACACGTAATTATTCTACAGGACTGGCAACACGAGGAGTTTGACAATCTTTTCTTGCAACATTTTGGTAACGGATGGTTTTGGCCAAACAATCCAATTTTTCCGGAACCAAGCGATCGACATAATTTCAGTTTAGGTCCAGATGGCGTTGCTGCTGTTGCAGTTCCTTACGTTTCGGCCCTTATTAACGGTAGGGGACGCTTTGAAAACCGCCTTTGGCACCAAGACAGGCCTGTAGAAAATAACGTTCCTTACGCCAGGTTCTACGTGGATCCTACTGCCCCTGATAACCGGTACAGATTCCGTATCGTAGGAGGGCAGATGGCGTTTCCATTGAGGGTCTCTGTCGACGCCCATTTGGTGACAGTGATAGCCACAGATGGATTTGACATTGAACCCATCCACAACGTGGAAAGTGTTTTGGTTACCCCGGGAGAACGGTATGATGTCGTAATCACAGCTAACAATCCGCTGAGAAGAAAGGCATATTACATCCGCGCGTCACCCGATCTCAGCGATGCTGGCTATGCAACCGATCAACCATTTCAAGAGGTTAAAGCATTGCTGATATATGGACGAGAATCGGAATCGTATGTAGAACCGCCTACAGGCGTGCTTGATGTCCCACGTCCATGTAAAACCCACCCGACCTACAAATGCAGAATTGTTAATTGCCCTTATGCTTTTTTACCTCCTACTTACAACGCCCAGTGCATTCATGTTGATCAGCTCATAAGGAAAGTCGAAGATGTCCCTGTCCCTGGACTGACGGCACTACCAGCGTCTAACAATTTCTGGTTCAACACGGCGTTCCTGCGTGCAGGTCCGAGCATAAGTGGCATTGCATTTGAACCTCCATCCTCCCCGCCTCTTTCGCAGAGAGATCTCTTGCCTAATTCAGTAACACCCTGTCCAGCCTCCTGTCGGTCTGCCACTAGCCTTCAGGGCTGTCGGTGCACCAATATTCTTACCCTGGATTACAACAAACCCTACCAGTTAATTTTCACCAATGTCGGCGCGGGCGGAGCAAACGGTACGTAGACCCTTTTCTGTAGTAAAACAAAATCAAGCAGTGTATTTTTTCGATCATAATCCCGCTTCCCAAAGTCGTCGCAAACTTTTGTTTGTATCTTTTCATTCTAAAGAAGTGATCGACATTTCGTATCTTAATTATAGTTACACGTACAGTTTCTATTTGAACCATCGTTGTTTTTGCATAAAAATGCAAAATTGCCTTTTGTCCAGTTCCGCAAGACAAGATTGTAAGTTGTTAACGATCTGTGAGTACTTTGAGAAAGTTGGTCCTGTACAATTTCCGTTGGGAAATAACCATATAAACTTATAGTATTGAAAAAAAAAACACAATCCTGTGAAATCATCGAAATAAAACTTGACATGCTGTGTATTGCCTGAATACCATCGCATCAGCCCTAAATTGTTTTCTATTAAAACCCCTTTTCCATCGCTCACGACGCTGTTTTATTTTTTAGAGGGCTCTCCTCATCCCATTCACGTTCACGGTCATAGTTTCCACGTGCTCAAGGTGGCCTTTGGCGAGTTACAGAGCAATGGGTTGTACCGCAGAGCAAACTCGGATCTCTGCTGCCCATGTCCGGACGATGAACAAGTGTGCTGCACGGAAGTAGACGATGGGTATAGTAGGGAATCTGAACATGCACATGCGTGAATTCGAAAAGAAAAAAAGCCTTTGAAAATATTTGAAAGTGATAAAAAAAGGGTTTAACGGGTTATTTTTTTGAACATCATTTCTACTCTTGGAAAGTTCTTGTACCTGGAGATAGAGTAAAACCGAGTTGAAAGTTGGTTGAAATCTTTTCTTCCTAGTCCAAAGAAATCATGTTTATTAGCACGACCATACGCATACACTTCTAAATTCCTTACTGATGTATTTGTGTTGATGCAAAGGGTCATCGGTCTTTAAGTAAATACTAAATACACAACTATGTACATCCTTTATTTCATTATGAGATTTCTTTCCAAACCAGCAATCGACATCTCACAACTTCTACAAATGGGACTGTACCATGTCACAGTCCTCGTTTTGTAAACGACGNGAGAAAGTTGGTCCTGTACAATTTCCGTTGGGGAATAACCATATAAACTTATAGTATTGAAAAAAAAAAAAAAAAAAAAAAACACAATCCTGTCAAATCATCGAAATAAAACTTGACATGCTGTATATTGCCTGAATACCATCGCATCAGCCCTAAATTGTTTTCCATTAAAACCCCTTTTCCATCGCTCACGACGCTGTTTTATTTTTTAGAGGGCTCTCCTCATCCCATTCACGTTCACGGTCATAGCTTCCACGTGCTCAAGGTGGCCTTTGGCGAGTTACAGAGCAATGGGTTGTACCGCAGAGCAAACTCGGATCTCTGCTGCCCATGTCCGGACGATGAACGAGTGTGTTGCACGGAAGTAGACGATGGGTATAGTAGGGAATCTGAACATGCACATGCGTGAGGTCGAAAAGAAAAAAAAAGCCTTTGAAAATATTTGAAAGTGATAAAAACCGAGTTTAACGGGTTGTTTTTTTGAACATCATTTCTACTGTTGGGAAGTTCTTGTACCTGGAGATAGAGTAAAACCGAGTTGAAAGTTGGTTAAAATCTTTTCTTCCTAGTCCAAATAAATCATGTTTATTAGCACGACCATACGCATACACTTCTAAATTCCTTACTGGTGTATTTTTGTTGATGCAAAGGGTCACCGGTCTTTAAGTAAAATTACCACTAAATACACAACTATGTATCCTTTATTTCATTATGAGATTTCTTTCCAAACCAGCAATCGACATCTCACAACTTCTACAAATGGGACTGTACCATGTCACAGTCCTCGTTTTGTAAACGACGAGTGGAACAGAGACCCGAACAAGATCTCCGAACTCAACAGAGAGAACCCTGTACGTAAAGATACCATAATAGTTCCGCCAGGGGGTTACACGGTCATCCGCATCACATCTGATAACCCGGGTAAGTAATTTTATAAATCGTGTCTGTCCCCATAAGCAATTTTGGTTTTTCTAAAGAGACCAATTTGTTTGTTTGTTTGGAATCAGTCGTTTAATAAAGGATTAAAACGCCATGACATTGATAAACGGATTAAATCTCCATATAAACGTTAACTATTCTGTTTTACCATCTTTACACAAGGCCAATTTCGCCGAATGAGGGAACGACTTGTCCCTAACACGTGCTATAAACACTAGTAATCTGGTGCCATTATTTCAGGTTGGTGGTTCGTCCACTGTCACGTCGAGTTGCATTCTGTGGCCGGTATGGCCTTCGTCATTAACGAAGCACCAGAGAGACAGCCGCTCCTGATCAAACCACCAGGGTTTCCACAATGTGGCGATTTCACGTGGACGTCACAGGATTTCCACCGGGCAGTCAACGCCTTTGTCACTCCGGAGGTTTCTCTACGTGCTCGTCGTTTTGGTCGACCAAACTATCATTACGTTTACTAAGTATTATCCATCTATACCATTCGACTTCCTTCATTGGTATTCCATTTTTGATTTATGTGAGCAGAATTAAGTGGGCTTATATATGGTTCCCAATGGATTTCAAAACACGAAATAAAAGCTAATAAAAAACTTGTACGAGTATATTGCGCTACATTTGTGAGAGAAATAAACTGAATTGCAGTACTGCATATCTATGCTCTTACTGTCAAAAAGAATCAAATATCACGATTAATATTTTGGCGTTAGTAAATGTCTTGTGAAAAATAAAACCGTGGTCTTGATAGAGGGTATATAGACCTTAACGCTTCAGGTTGAATGTGGCCTTCCACCCACATTGCTGCTTTCAAAGTGTTAAAAAAAATGTATCTCTTAAGATAAATACCTTGAAATTATTATAATTATATTATCTTAAATGTTTGTTTTAAGATGACGTTAACAAATATCATGAAATTCCGAATTAGTATGCGCTCTGCTGCGGTACAGGCCTACGGATTAATTTTTTATAATTCAAAAGATCACCGGTTGAGAGGGCAATATGATCAAGTGCAGAGAGAGAAAATCAATGTTTCCCTATTCACTTCTAGAGGTCCCTTTAACTGTTACAAAGTTAATTAAAAGTCATTCGTCCAATTTTGTTACAAACAGAAGGGCATATGCAAAAGAGTAATGTTGCCCATGGACGCATTTCCCTTCGTTTGAAACATATGCCGAGGACGCGAACATTCCAATATTTCATTAAAATCACTTATGACCTAGAAGGAAAAAAAAAAAATAACCCAAACCATTTACCTGCATGCTTCTTTCTTTTAGATTAATATATTTTACGGTTATAACTTATACCGTGTAAAACAAACACCGAACAATGTGTTACAACTCGGCAAAGTCTATACGTGTTGTAGTTCTAGCCAAGTCTGTTACCGGTCAGGTTACACTGTTTGGCTACATAAGCGGCGCTACGTCATTAATGCTTTCAGAGGCCCTCTTTGCTCGACTGTGATACCTGTCTTTGAAGTATTCCCTTGCATCACAAAGGTTATGTTAGTCGTTAAGGGAGACCGGGGCTAGTTGGACCCCGGGGTAAGTTGGCTCCCTATCAAGTCTTTTTAATAAAGTTACTTTAAGATGCTAAATTATTTCATTTGGACTCACTGCCGAGGCTTTCTTGGCACTATTGGATACGGCCACTTTACAAAATGATGTGATCAATTCTTTTACCTCATAGTTACTTTGATGGGGGGCCAACTTACCCCGGGGTCCAACTAGCCCCGGTCTCTCCTAATTTCCAAAATAAAAAAGAAGAAAACATATTTAGAGGAACAAACCGAACAAGAGCACCCTTAAATACGCCGATGACTATATCTCTAAGCATTAGCGGAAGTACATGTAGAAAAGGTAAGAACCGGACATCATTTTTGGTGTTTGAGTTTCAGAATGATCAGGGAAGAAACGTTGCTGTTGCCGATTAGATTCACCACACCTGCACGTGGGAAGCAGCCTTTACATCTTGCCACCCGAATTAATTTCAACGTGTCCCGCATTTCAGACGTGAACCTAGAAAATCTCTCAACGGGTTTGTAATCAACGAGCGATTAGATGTTGCGTGGATGACCGCCTTGGTCACATCACGCCTACATGTAATTTGTCAAGAGAATATTATCATGAAATGGGTGAAATATCACAATGGGAAAATAATGCGTCTTTAAAATCCTTTAGGTATTGGAAAATTGCAAAGATACATTTTAATTCCAATTGACAAGAGACGAACAACGGCACTAAGACTGAAACGGTTTGCATGCATTGCATATACTGCTTGTATTCTTTCTGAGTGTGTTGTTCTACAGAAAGATATCTGCAAAAGCCGTAAATTTTCGAATGCTAGGTCTGTAGAAATAGGGTAGCATATTACATGTAGTAGTGAAAACAAAATAAAAAGAATCAGTTGCAAGGATAGAATATTATGATTATTCAATTTATTCAATCCTCAAGTCCTGCGAGTCATCTGACAAATGTACTTTATACAAGAATTTGACAAAAAATACTATTAAAAATTTTTACAAACATATTAATAACAATACTCCACGAAAACAATTTGATAAGTTTGAAAACGCTTTGATTGTAAAACCGTTGTGTTGGATTATGCACAAAATATCATCGTAAAATAAGTTCGTTTTATGATGAAGTGCCAGTATGCACGTGCGCTTAAATCGACCGTAATGATTAATAACGAGGTCTAATTGGGTATTGAAATGGGCTCGATTCCACTAGGTGAAAACCACGCAGACCGACATTTAGGTGTAATTGCACACCAGCACCGGGTTTAAGGAGCAGGTGCGCCCTGGGTGGTGTTGGGCAACCGTCAAATTATTCAGCGTAATTCGCTTGAGCAAAGCATTTCTGTTAGTATATATATAAGCTGGCATAGATGGAAAAAATCACATTGTCTGATTTTCAAAGCGAACATTTGAACAGGAGAAGTAATCATGTGGTTGAAGATAGCCATAGTGATGGGCTGCTGGTCAGTCCTGGTTTCAGGTAAGTAACCAGTGGCGCATCTAGGGTGTGGTAGCTATAGAGAGCGTCATAAGAGATGCTCTTTTTGGGTCATGGTAACGTCTTTGCAGCAAGAAAAAGCTTTCAGCCATGTGCGCTGTTTGCAGTAGATACGCCAATACAGGCGACAGATGCGGTGGTGGCAATTTATCTCCAAATTGCTGTGCATAAAAAAACATGTAAGGGAGTGGACGTCCAAGAAGGCACTCACATGCATTCACAAAGACGAATGCTTTTATTTCGATAAAAATTTTAATAATTCTCAATTACTTTTCATCAAAGCTAAACCCGCCGGGCGTATTGACCGAGTTGCACGGCAGACAACGTTCCCGGACGCCTGTTACGCAGGCAGCCGTCCAGAAGTGCTGACCGAAAGCGACGCCAGCAAAGACATTGCTATTGTCGACTACGAGAATGACATGAGATGTAAATGGAGAATTGCAGCCGGAGAAGGAGAGGTACACAGGCCTATGGGGGGCAAATAGGGGGGAGGGGGGTTCAAAGAGTCACCGAAGAGGTCCGTTCTAAATGAAAAAATGATTCCGTAAACACATGGTTTTCGCGGTATTCAGGTCTACTTAGTAAGTTAAATTTCCAAATTTCAGTCGAACGGAATGTTATGTCTAGAAACTGTATTTTGTGTTTGTGGGAGTATTACAATGAGCAAGCGTGAGAGGTCCCAATTACTGGTTGGTTCTTTGTGTGATTAATATTACGTATATTGTAGAAAATCATTTTAAAAAAATCCAAGGCCATGCTTGTGCAGCTAAGCCATTTAGTGTACGGAAAGGTTTTGGGATGAAACTAGACCTGTTTTACTGGACGGAAAAAGGAGAGTTTAATAGTTGGATAAATCTATTATGTTAGAAAATTTAGCGGCAAAAGAGTGCCGCTTTAATACAAAATACCTAACGTATGAATTACATCTATCAATAAACACTTTCCATTATATTTCAGAGAGTCCGTCTGACTGTTCTCAGCTACAGTATAGAAGACCACGGCACTTGCAAATTCGACAGGCTGCTGGTTCGCGACGGCTTCAACAACAAGGCTCCTCGCTTGGCCAAGATTTGCGGGAACAGCACAGGCGTAGAGGTGTATGAAAGCACGGGCAACTACATGTTCCTTCTCTTTAGAACAGACGAGTCGGTGACGGATTCAGGATTTGGCGCGTTTTGGGAGGTGATTACCAATGGCACTAGTAAGTGGGCAATTCGTGACTTTTTTCAACTTCTCGCAAGCATTTCCTGATTCTGTAAATGCGCACATGTGTTTTAGCTTTATTTTGGCAGTGTAAATGTATAATAAACTTCATGTGAAACATAATACCGCAATCGTCTTCTGTCACAATGTGTTATTACAACAGATTCTTGTTTTGTTTTCAGACCCAACTGACGCTCCAACTGACGCCCCAACTGACGCCCCAACCAATGCACCAACCCAGGCCCCAACTAACGCCCCAACTAACGCACCCCCTTCTGGAGATTGTGGTAACTTATGGGGCATTTGAAAATTTGTAACCACTTTTCGGTTCCTTAGTAATTGTTATCACTTCCATTTCTTTAATTGTGTGCACAATGAATTTATGCTGAAATTCAAATTAGTGCGCCGGATTTTCGATGAAAATACTGGTTAACCCAAGAATGCATAAAATGATACGATACATATTTTAAATATGGACACAGAAGGAGCGCAAAACCTTTGTACAGCATAAACGAATCTTCCTGGACATTTTAAAACTTTTTCTTCATCATCATACCATGGGACACCATGTCCAAAACATTGGCAAATTACAAACTAGTTTATAAACCCGTTTCTGAGTTTAATGTTTTTAATAATTGAATGTCTCTCTGGAACAGAGACTGAAACATTTCACTGGTAAATGCAAATTTTGAACTCGAATACTGGTTTATACAAATTCGTCATTTTCCTTTCTGTTTTGTGTTTTACAAAAAAAGAATATATATATATATATATATATATATATATATATATATATATATATATATATATATATATATATATTTTTTTTTTTTTTTTTTTTTTTTTTTTTTTTTCTTTTTAGCGAACTGCGGAAGGCGGGGCACTGCGGTCTCGGCATCAATCGTTGGCGGGCAGGAGGCCACGCCCCACTCCTGGCCCTGGATGGTGGCTCTGACCAATGGCTTTGGCGGTGGTCAGTTCTGCGGTGGAACTCTTATTGACCCTGAATGGGTTATGACGGCAGCCCATTGCACAGGGTAATAATAATAATAATAATAATAATAATAATAATAATAATAATAATATGTCATCTCCTAAAAATAGACATGCGCGGCAAGCGTTTATCAAATATTTAAAAGCTTTGACAAAAACACTCAATGAAATTACTTATATCAAACGAGAACTTAGACATGATAGTAATTTATGAAATAATATTTATTACTATTTTTAAACATGCAGACATGTTGGGATGCTATCTGTTTACCATATCCAAACCTTTGCCTCTACATTTCCTATTTGGAGTTATGATCTCCCTTTCACTCATTATTATTTTTTTACTTCACACAGTGGAGATTATCTCAGTGGCACACTGAAGATGTTTTGGCAATTATTTAAAACGAAACAAAAAGAAAATGAAAATACAATGTACAATTTTACTGTTTATAATCAGAGGGACCATCGTCGTCAGGCTTGGAGAACACGATCTGTCCGCCACAGAGAATCCGAACCTGGTGGTGGAAAAACGTGTTATCAGAACAATTGACCATCCCAACTATAATGGAAACTCTCTGGACAACGACATTTCGTTGTTGAAACTGGAAAGCGCCGTGACGCTCGGAACTGGCATCAACATTGCCTGCCCCCCTGAACCCAACTCCGAACTGACCGATGGCCATTACTGTGTGACGACTGGCTGGGGCGCAACAGGCAGCGGTAAGTATGGAGAAATAAAGATCCACTTGGGTTAAAGAGTGGGGTGAACAGAGGGCGGATTTGGAAATAGTAGTCAAGGATAATTTCATTGTCATATGAAGGCCACACGGATGAATAATGGCTTTACATAATTCGCTTGTCACAAGGAGAGGGGTAAAATATAGATACATCCAACGCTATTGAGGGGGGGGGGATCTCGATGATCTGCGGCCTTTGGATCCGACATCTTAGGAATTATCAACAGAGATTCCTTACTTGAGGAAGAATAAGTATTTTGTTGCTAGCATGACAACGACACGATCTGGCACAGTTCCAAATTTATTTAATTTTTTAATGTAACTGAGAGAAAAATTCCAAATGGCAATTTATTTGACTTAAAGAAAACATATTACAGTCAGCTATTCTTTGTGAGTCTTAGACTGGGTTCCCATGCCTAGTTGATCCATCTCCAAGGGGTTTCTCGCTAAATTGCTTTCAGCTTAAGCGGCTTATATGTCTGGCACGCCTACTGAAGCTGCTAACGAGAATTAATTACCCCAAAGTTAGTACGATAGGGGCTGGGAATGGTCCCTTATTTACAATTGTCTTATTACCAACCTTTTCAACAACGTACTCTTTGAGCCAATTTTAGCAACATTGCGTGAACTTAGAATATTTGAATGTTACCGTGTATTACAAAAAATAACATTTAATTTTAGGGCAATCTGGAAGTGATAAACTATTGGAGGTGGATGTCCCTTACATCTCCACCGCCACGTGCCGCGCCGATAGCGCGTACGGGAATCAGGTCCTTGACAGCATGATTTGCGGCGGAACCATGGCAGGCGGCAAGGACTCTTGCCAGGTAAGACTCGGGACCGGTGTACGAAGAAGCCGGTGTTACAGAAAATTAAGTCTGCTTGGAACCGTAGTCCATTTTCCATTACTTTGTACAGGTGACACTCGTCCCATACACTAACCCCAACTAACCCTAACCTGTGCTAACCATACGGAATCCCGGACTTCCATTACTAGGACTACCGTTCCTGTCACATAAAAATGTATAGCTGAAATATAGTCTAAACTTTGGAACCAAAAATATTAGTCTTGCTATAACACAGGATAAATCTGATACATGTAGAAAGACTAAGACTGGAGAATAAAAATAAATCAATGGCAGTTTCAAGAAGAATTTAACAATAGTTATGCAAAATGACAAAGACAAATGCATTTGCATCAACTCCCCTTATTTACTTGGTAACATAACAACGTGGATTATTGATATGTAACTTTTATATCTAAATTCACTCAGTACTTATTTAACCGTGTCACGTATTTTTATAAAACATAAAGCAAATGACGTTTACAAATGTCAGCCTTGAAATGAAAAAGAAACTACTGTATTAGAAAATTCATCTTTGGTTCTTCTTTTTAAGGGAGATTCTGGCGGCCCCTACGTTTGCCGCTTCATGGATGACAACGGTCAGGCGTTCTGGAAGGCTTATGGTGTCGTCAGCTGGGGTTATGGCTGTGCCCAGGCAAACAGACCAGGTGTCTACTCTAAGGTGTCCATATACACCGAATGGATCAAGAACACGATGAACAGCAACTGAAGTTCTTAAACCTGGCCAATAAGTTAGATTTTAGGACGTTAACCTTATTAGGTCCCGTTATTGGCGTGAAAATATTTTTGTGGGTTTTTCATTAACGGCAAGAACTGCTATTATTAAGTAAAATTTCCTATTCTTGTAGTCTCTTTAGCTGGGCAATAAAATCATATCGGTATTGATGATAATTATGTTTTGTGTTTTCCTCTTGATGTGTCTAATTCGAAAGATAAAAGAAAGAAAAATGAAGACATTAAATTGCGATTAAGGTCGGTTTATCTCATTTTTGTAGTGAAGTTTCATTTTATTTGTCATGATCAGAGTCCAGGACTAACGGGTTCATGGTTTTGTTTTAAATCATTATTATCATTATGTGATTTATATGGTATTTACTAACCCGTGCCTGCAGAAAATATGAAGTAACATTCTGCCTCCTGACTAATCCGCCACGACCCACTGGAGGTGACCTGTTGGTACCTTCTGCCACGGCCGAAGATTAATTATGTGCAATTTTCGTCAGTGCGTCCCTGTACCTTTTGGCATGATAAGGGCAATTATTTCTACACTCGCGCCTGTGCCTTTGCTTTTGCGCTTCAGTTCCGCAACCTGTCTTCGATTATCTGTCTGGTAAACATGTCACTTGGTTAGGAGTACGCTCGGCTCTCACCTTGAACGGTTAAAAGAACAATCCGAGGCACATTTCTGCATGAAGACCAAAGCTTTTACGTGTAGTTTGTTGAAAGGCTCTGAAGTTGTCGGAAGTCAACCAACGTTTTTTCATGGGAATATCCCCGAAAATTCTCGAATAAACTTTTAGCAGGTGTAATTACATTCATGCCACTGCTAGACTTCCCCCTTGGCAATCCTGTACTGGGAAAATAATCGTGCACATGCTTGTATTTGTCACGTTTATAACAATAATATGACGTGAGAAAAAGAACAGGCGCCACTCAGACTCTAAATGCCCGTGCGCACAACGTTGCTGACTGATCTGGTTATTTGAGGTGATCGAAATTTACAAACAAAAAGAGACTTTTAAGATAAAGTATTAAAATACTAGTATGTACACTATCCTTTTTAAGTGACATGCAAATAATTAAAAAAGATTAATAAAAGATTTCACCATTCGAGCATTTTGGGGAAATTCTCTCTGAACAAAATGGTGGTCGACGCCCACCTTCCTCGGCAATCGAGGAATTTTATCTGGGAACTTCCTTCTCTGTTATCGGCAGAGTGGCCAGATGGTGTGCATGTTGCTTGTACCTGTCGACAGAAAGTGCAGAGCAATTTCAAAACTGAATTGATTGCAGTCAGAGGGATTTGGCAGGAACTTGCGAACTGGCAGTGCAAAGCAGTTATGCAAACATTTGCCAGTCCTGTAACTATCCTTGAGATTTCAGAACAGACTCACAGCAGAGAATCAAGTCACGAATTAGTTGGAGACATATCTGTGAACACCTAGTGAAAAGTCAATCTGTGGCCCTGGAAGTATTGATAACCTATGACTTCATTATGTAGTACAGGCAGCAAGTTTGTTTTCACTTTGATCGTAGAACACGACAATGGCATTGCGCAACAAGGCTAGGGGAGACCGGGGCTAGTTGGCCCAGTTAGACACTTTTGGCCTTGTAGAGCCAACTAGGAATGGTAACAAAACCGGTTTCAAAGTAAGCCCTATGAACTTAGCTACGTATGTAACGCCATTATTTTTCAAATATAATGCCAGATGGCTCACAATTTGACAAAAAACGCAGTTGACGTCAAGGGGGCCAAC